TCAAAAGTCAAGAGCTTTCCAGGTTCCAAATCTTAACATGCCAAAATTCTTTTCACAGGTAAATATCAAAGCATTCCCCCCCCCCTCAATGGGATTTAAATCACAGACTTTGTTTGTGTGCATTTTAGGAACAGCATTTCCTGACAAGCTTCTCACATGAAAAAATTTTCCCTTTTAACAGGATATGTGAACCCCGATAACAAAGTGTTTGTCCCTTTTTCCTTCCACAGCAACTTTCTTGCTGTTCTGTGAAACACGTCTGAATCCCTGCTATATTAGTGACTTCCATCTCTTTGTGGCTTTGACACTTTTTTAAAGTTACAAATAATCTGTTTTCATTTATTTAATCCGTTTCTCCATGATGTCTATAAAGTTAATCGAAGCACAACCAAACATTGTTTGTGGAATGGTACTTGTTTACCTTTGGCCTGAGCATCTCTTATTAATTCTGTCATTTTGGCTAGTGCAAGGTACTTGCACAACTTTAAAATTGCCATTCATTTTTTTCCCTTGGTATTAAGTCATTTTCCAGTATTTTCCTATTAACATTTTAGCCGACGTTGTCACATCAAGAAACACTCTTTTATTTTCATTGTTACTTCAGAGTTCTTAAAATTGTGTGTCTTAGCATTATTTATTTTTGGTTCCTCATAGGTCATTTTGTGTCTGTGTGTTTTACTTTGGGGACATGTTCATCACATGTTGAAAGTCAGTTTCATGAAGTTCTTTTATCAGATAGCACATGGTGAATTTAAAGTTTTTCCCCCCATGGTTTTCCCATTTTTTCAGTCTAGTAGTAATCTGCGTGGTTTTGATAATATATTTAATAATAATTCTTTTCTAAATCTGATGTCTTTGTGTCAAGTTTGTTTTCATCTGACTGGTAATCTAATTTTTTGCTTTCTTTTGTATTTTTTAACCTTTGTATCTTTTACAGTTTTCTCTTTCTATACATGTGGAGTAATTTTTATTTTATAATATGAAAAGAATAACAACAACAAAAACCAAGTGAAGGAAAGCAAACAAACTTAGCAGATAATAACAGTAATTATGTGGAAATGTGATAATAATGTTGAAATGAATAAAATGCTTAATGTACTAAGATTGTTATTATTTGCAGCTTCCCAGGGAAACTGGAGGACATCCTTTTTGCCTTTTGCCCCTTCCTTGTCTAACTGTGTTTAAGTCCCCAAAACCCTGCCCCCTTACAGGATATCACGTCTACAGATGTGCAATGATGAAAAGCAGCAACAACCCCTCAACTCAGTTCTTCATCATCACAAGACACCAGAGTTTTCAAGTGCCCACAGCTATCTCTTTCAAAGGATATAGACTGACGGGGGAGTGGGCCTGACAAGGGGGGGTGGAGTTGAATTGCAAGGACATTTTCTCATTTTTGAACCTTAAAGACTGCGCTCCAGGATTGAGAAGATCACAATTATCTCAAGATAAGCAACTGATATTTAATTAGTTTGTTTTGTATTATGTGTTATTACGTAGGAATGTTGAAATGTGTCTGACAGTGTGTTATTTCCACAAAGGAGGGGGGGCTATTTGTGTGTGTAATTGTTTTTATGTTTAATGTCTTATTCCTTACAACCCAGTGGAGGATTCTCATACATTTTATGCCTTTTACGAGACCAGGCTATTATGTAGTCCAATGTTTAGAATTAGATAAATTTATAACCATATTTCGTTGTTCCACCTGGCGCTATGCCAACTTTCCCTACCCATTTTTTAAAAAAAAAAAATGTGCTAAAACTCGCTTTAGCAAGGAGAAGCTTCTAAGATACATGAAGGTGGATATGCTTTGGTTTAGCAGGAATGATCCCTTGTAGAGTTAAATTGACTTATTTGGACAAATGCCCTCTAAGAATGGTTTTGTTTTAACAGATTGATTTGAGGACTTGAGAACCATGGGGCAAGATAAATTCAAATTGGACTCAGTTTGAATTGGGCAAGTGTATCCAGGCTGCAATTAGCTTTTTGGTCCTTAAAGTGCAAGTGAGCAACTTCCCAGGATGCAAGACCAGAGCCTGTAATAATAATAAGAAATCCCATGGATTTTGGCCAAGGCAAAGGCATTTCTCTCAGGACGTGCCCGAAACCTGTGCCAGCTGTGGTGGGTGCCAGGCAACATGAAAGCCCTAAGTGGATTCAGCAGGGATTGCCACTACTGCGACACCATGCCGATGTGAGACCACAGAAGAGCTACCTTGACACCTGAGAACACACAAATGGGTGGGGGGGAAGCAAACTGCACTTTTCAGTCATTAGTGGACCTTCCTGCCTAAATGTAAAGCATAGATCACTATTGAGAAAATATTTCTTCCAAGGTGCTAGAATACCACAAGTAACTGAGCAACAAAATATTAATTTACGTGATATCCTATGTCTAACTATGTGCACTGTTACACCATTATATTTCCATGCAAATATCCTTAAAGTAGCATGATATCCAAGTCCCTTTCAGGTTCACATGGACACACACATCTGGGACGGAGAATACCAGGTTATTATTTACCACCTTAAATTGTGCGGAGAAAAGGATTGCAAAGTAGCCACCTTTGCAATCTTATCTCCGAAGGGGGGAACTGTAGCAGGAAACCCCCACCCCAATCATTCTGCTTGTACAAACTTCACACACACACACACTCACACACTACATACGCCACATTTCTGTTATAAATTCATAGAAAATCAACCATACATTGGATTTGCACTGTTCCATTTTTATTTTACTCCATATGACAAGAACTAACAGAAGGGGAGGGGGGTTTGACCCTGGTCAGCCAGAATCCCTTCACTGTCTCAGCACATCTGCAGGAGCCCTGCCCAGATGATCCCAGACAGAAGACAATCAAAATCACAAAGAACAGTGGATTCACCACAGACTGAAACAAAGGAGAATGATCAGATCTTCCCTCTGGGGGCAGGAAACTGCAAACTCCCCATTGTCACCTGGAAGGCACTCATGGGGAGGGGGAAAGGAGGAACCAGCTGGGTGACAGGACACTCAGGTTACCACCACAACTCCTCCCTCAACCCCTCCTTTCTGTAATGTATGCATGATGTTTCTGGGGGTGGGCTTGCGCTAGAGGAGGGGAATTTCAAAAAGTTTTTATAAGGTCTTGCAGCCCATTGTTCTGGGTCTTTCCTCTCTCCTGCGAGTGAGGGGAACACCCTGATGCATCAGTTCAATAAAGGCCAAGCCTACAGGCTGCTGTTTTGCTCCAAGTTATCCTGGTTGGTGTCTTTGTTTTGTCCAAGGGAGCCCTCAGATTTTTCCTGTAACAACACGGACCCCTCTTTCAGTTCTTCTGGAAAAAATTCGCCCCCCTGTTATTTCTCAGGTCTCTATGGGCTGTGCTGAATTCCTGCTCCCAAAAAGAGGGAGGAGAAGGAAGGGGGAAGTTTCGCCTGACAAAGGGAGGGAGAAGAGGGGCCCTCCTGCTGCTGCCTTGTGGGGCGAGAGGGGGAAAGGGGATCTTTTGACACAAGATCCAAACAGCTCCTTTAACCAAACACCTGATCCACCCAGCAGTGTGGCAGCCAAAGGGAAGGAAAGAAAAAGAGGCAAGGCAGCTCTTGGACATCTCCATGCAGTTGCAAAAGGTGGGTTTCTCTGTAGGGGCTCTGCTTTATTCCTTAATGCTGAATGCTACATCTGCCTAAGTCCACTTCCACCCACTGGAAAAGATTCTTAGTAGTAAGGAGTAAAGGGAACGGTGGGAAATACCTAGTTATTTCTATAAATTGGTAAGACCGCACAGTCCCTGCACCTCCACAAGGCCTGGTCCTTTCAAGAGGTGCAGACTGCCTTCTCCAAAGGTGGATTTCAGCTCAAACAGCTGGTTGAAAAGTTTCTTTTCCTATCCTCACACCAGTAACCCTGGCAACCTCCCAGAAACAGTCTCTGTTCCTCGATGGTCAGGGAGATTGCATTTTCCCATGGTATCTCAAAAAATTGAAACCTTAGCATTTAGTAATGTCTTAATACAGTTTTGGGGTGTGTGTGTCAGCCCTTAAAAATCAACTGTGCAATGTGGCTCACAGCAGGGGCAAAGCAAAGATTTAAGACTGTCACCAGCTATTCACATTCGCGTACATACATATAGGCTGGGAGCCCCAATGCCACAAGACCAAGTGGGCTGAGCCCCTGTAACAGGCCAAAACCAAAAGCCAGTTGAATCATTTACATTTACAAATACTGGCACGTATGTGTGTGTTTTGGAAATTTGTAGCAGTTTGTAATGTTAAGAGAGATGTTCTGAAGAAGAGCATTTTATACACTCATGAGCATTCCCTTAACATAGGCTCATTTTTTTCCTTTTTCTGGAGGTATAAATGTTCTTAGCCTATGTACAATCACCCCGAAGGCTTCAGGCCTCCTTCTGACTGTTGAAATGCTCCTGGGGAGACTGTAAGCAGCACCTCCTCTGCTCTCAGTCAGCAAAAGGAGATGGCAAGGTGTGCTTCATGGTGTAACTTGCACCTGTAGGTTAAATTGCCTTAAAAGTGGCATTTAATAGGGCAAGACTGACAGCACAACCAAGGTTGGTGGTTGTTCTCTTGCATATTCCTGCCTTGCAGTGGGTTGGACTAGATGGCCCTTGGGGTCCCTTCCAATATAGATATATACACCATCATATGATTCTTTGGAGAAGTGTTGGAGGAGATTGACTATCTATGGAATCATAGTTGTTTGCATATATGAGACCTCTGAGTATAGGGTGGTTTATCAATTCAATAAATAATAATAATATCATAGACATCTTTTATTTTTCTTCGTTCCCTTTCCATGCTCCTTTGATTTCCTTCTGTCGAAATATTCTCAATAGAATAATAATAATAATAATTTATTTCTATCCCGCCCTCCCCAGCCAAAGCTGGGCTCTAAAGCAGAATCAATGTGTGCTTTTGAGGCGCCAACAGGATGCTTCTCCCGCCCAGCTGGATAAAAGCAGCCTGTTTTAAAAAGGTAAAAAAGAAGACAGAGGTGAATCATAGAATATTTTTATTGGCACTCTGAGTTCGGTTTGCAGAGGGCATGGAGAGATCTGGCGAGATGCAGGAATTCGGTTCAGAGGAGCTGGAAGGTCCCGTTCTGGATGGCCTGCAATAATAATAATAATAATAATAATAATAATAATAATAATAATTTTATTATTTATACCCCACCCATCTGGCTGGGTTTCCCCAGCAAGGAAAAGGAAAGGGACCCTTTGGACTCGGGTTCAAGCTGAGAGACATTCCAGGTGAAATCGCCTTGTAATAATAATGATACTAATAATTTTTATTTCTACCCCGCCCTTCCCAGCCAAGGTTGGGCTCAGGGCGGCTAACAAGCAATCATAAAAACAAATTGAATGAATACAAGTTAAAAACAAGATGGAAAATACAACATTAAAATATTGAAACATTAAAATATTAAAATATCTCCTTGGAGGAGAAGTGGAGGAGTTTGGATTGGATATCCCGCTTGAGGAGTCTCAAAGCGGCTCGCAATCTCCTTTCCCTTCCTTCCCACAACAAACACTCTGTGAGGTGAGTGGGGCCGAGAGACTTCAGAGAAGTTGACCAGCCCAAGGTCACCCAGCAGCTGCATGTGGAGGAGCGGAGACTCGAACCCGGTTCCCCAGATTACGAGACCACCACTGTTCCACACTGGAGGTTTCTAAGCCTAGGTTGGGGTCCCATCCAGCTCAACTGTTTCTAGGATTCCATGTTGAGACTTCTGCCCCAAATGGGGGTTGGGACAGATGACCCTCGGGTCCCTTCTATGAGTATTCTTGGTCACCCAGCCAAAAAAAGGCCACCCTTTTTGGCAACCCAATCGTACCTTCTTCCAGTTTTCCCTTCTGGAGGTTCGGTCCTCGTCCGTCCTCCTCTTCATATCGGCGCAATCTGCAAACACAACCACAACTTTAAGATTCCCGCCTTGCAGTCGGGTCCCTGACAGCTCTCATTCTACGATTATACAGTTCCTCCTGTGGCTAGAGGCCCATATGATTGATTGATTGATTGATCGATTGATTGATTGACGTGAACCGCTGGAGGAGGTTAGGCAAGGAACTGGGCGAAACGGAGGCTTCAGTGCAGGAATCTCTGCTCCCCCCCCAATATTTTTTAAATTGGTTTTCACAACATTATAAACAAACCAACACATAAGACAAACAAACATAAATCATAGCTGTCAGAGCTGCTCCCCGATCCTAGCTCACAGAGGATCACGCTAGCCAGCGTTCGCTTTATAAAAGTCTTTATTGAGTTACAGTTTCCATTTCCAAGCTGCTGCGTGCAACTCTACGTCTTATGGCTAGACCGGCGAAGCTCCGTCTGAGTCCCCGCCCCTCGTACACCAACTTAATATCCTCGCCTTACTCCACCTTTTCCGCCTGACCGTCCTTCTCTGGGTCCCTCTGCCCCCCGTGGTCTCCCCCCTCCGGGACTCTTCTGACGCTGACCCCCCGGACTCTCCTGTCTCCTTGCGTCGGGCTTTAGGACCTGGCTCCCTTTCCGGGCTGCTTACTGCGCCGCCTTCCTGTGCATTTGAACTTGGCGCGCGCGCCCAACCTTCCACTTTCCGCTTGACCGTTTCTTCGCTCCCCGATGGGGGTGTGGTCACTCCTGACTCATGCCCTCCTCCCTGCTGCGAGCTGCCAGGGCTCGATCCCTGACGTCCTTCCTCTCCACTGCGCTCTGGTGGGGACGCTGGCCCCGATTTCCAACTGCTGCCCTCTGAACCCCCGCTGGTCCCTTCCTCCTGGGGTGTCCCCCTAGGCCCCCCCTTTGCTCTGGCCACTGGTGCTCCTTTCTGTGAATCTTCTGATTCACTGGAAAGACTCGGAGATCTCGGGTCGTCGTCATCACTCATCCTTTCTTCGGACTCCTCCCCCTCGCTCTCTGTTTCCTCCCTTGCCCTCGCCTCTGCTCCTGAACCCCTGACAATAGCCTTATTGAAAATTACACTGATTAAGATTGTTAAGTGACGTCCTCGCTTCCCCTTGGTTGAATTTCATTGCATGTCCTTTGAACGGTTTTCCAAATCACAGTTCTTCTAAAATTCAACTTAAACATTAACATCCTTAGATTTTCACATGATGAAATTAAACATATGAATTCATCTGTCAGAGCTGCCCCGGGTCCCAGCTCACAAAGGACCAACGCCAGTTCCTCTTTATATACAGAAGTCTTTATTGAAGTTCATTATTGGTTTGACAGCCGTGGCGCGCAGCCCTACATCTGAAACCCTAGACGGTCGAAGCTCCGTCTGAGTCTCCTCCCCCGAGACACCAGTTTAAGACCCTAGCCTTGCTCCACCTCTTCCTCTGCTCCCTCTTCCTCTGGGTCCGCCTGTCCGCCGGGGTTTTCCCCTATCTAGGACTCTTCTGACGCTGACTCCCCCGAGTCTTCCCCCTCCCTCCGGCGGGCTTTAGGACCTGGTTCCCAATCCGGGCTTTCTGCTGTCCCGCGCGCCTGTACATTTGAACTTGGCGCGCGCGCCCAGCCTGCCACCTTCCTTCTGACCGTTATACTGCTCCTGTCGCTGCTTCCCTCTTCGGGGACGCTAGCTGGGTTTGACTCCTCCTCCCTGCTTGCCGGAGGAGACGCTGACTCTGACCTATGGGACTCTTCCCCCCCACTACGCTCTGGTGGGGAAGCTGGCCCTGATTTCCAGCTACTGCTCTGGGAGTCTCCGCTGGCCCCCTGCTTCTGGTGTGTCTCCCCCTGGGACCCCCCTTGCCCTGGCCATCGGCGCCCCCTTCTGGGAATCTTCTGATTCACTGGAGAGGCTCATGGAATCTCTCGGGTCACTGTCATTCTGCCCTCCGCTGCCCTCAGATTCTTCCCCTTCACTCTCCATTTCCTCTCTCCCCTGCGCCTCTGCTCCTGAGCCCCTGACATCATCACTTAACGTAAATAAAATCCTAAGCCAATTAAGTATCTGCAAGCTGTTTTCAGTTAATTTAACTTAACATAGTTAACTAAGACCTAACTGGAAGAGTCCGCGACCAGAAGGAGAAGTGTCAGGAAGATTGGATTAAATTTAATCATTCAATTTAATACTCTCTTCCTGATACTCCTCCTCCTCCTGGTCACGGACTCTTCCGGTTAGGTCGCCTAGCTCTGAAAAATCCTTCATCTTCAGTGCAGGAATCTCAACACAGAATCATACAATGGCAGAGCTGGGACTCCCAAAGGTCATCCAGTCCAACCCGCAGCAAGGCCAAACCTGCCCCATCTACAGCGGCGGAGTTACTTACGGACGGCAACAATTGTTGCAAAGGGGAGGAAGTACATCCCAGCAGTTCCTGCGACAACAGGCATCAGGTCCACTGGCGCAGCGCATCCTTGCTCTGTGAAGAAAACAACAGCCAGACCAAAGTTTTAAGATATTTTTAAAACTCCCCCCACCAAACCAGGACTTTAGGGGCAGCAGAATCAGCTGGGAAGAGAGAAGAGGAGTGCAGGGTATATATAATAATAATAACCTAATAATAATAATAAATAATTTAGTAATTATTTTAGTAATAATTTTAATAAAAACAATAATTTTAGGTTGGGTGTCCTTGCTTCTCCTACTGCTTTTGTAGGTTTTGCGGTATTTGCGCATGGTGACCTGTTGTTATTTTTATTGATTATTCTAAACATTGTGATTATAGTTTTGAGACTTGTGGGTGTAGGGCAGTATACCCATTGAATAAGAAATAATAATTATTATTTCGTTTTCCATATGGTACCATATTTTTGTCTCCATAAGACACACTTTTTTCTTCCTAAAAAGTAAAGGGAAATGTCTGTGCATCTTAAGGAGTGAATGTGTGGTCCCTGGAGCTGAATTGCCCAAGGGCCAAAAGCATGGTGATCTGCTGTTATTTTTATTGATTATTGTAATCATTGTGATTATAGTTTTGAGAGTTGCGGGTATAGGGCAGTGTACCCATTGAATAACTAATAATAATTATTACCGTATTTTTCGCTCTATAACACGCACCTGACCATAACACGCACATCGTTTTTAGAGGAGGAAAAGAAGGGGAAAAAACATTCTTGTCAGGGGCTCAGGAGCAGAGGCACAGGAGAGGGAGGAAATAGAGACCAAGGGGGAGGAATCTGAAGGAAATGTTAGCGATGACAGCCGTCCGAGGTCTCTGAGTCTCTCCAGCGACTCGGAGGATTCACAGAAAGGGGCTCCCATGGTCAGAGCAAGGGGGGTGCCTAGGGGGACACCCCAGGAAGAAGGGGCAAGAGGGGACTCAGAGAGCAGCAGTTGGAAATCAGGACCAGCTTCTCCACCAGAGCGCAGTAGTGGGGAGGAGTCCCAGGCATCGGGATCAGGCGGCGCACCGCCAGCGGGAGGACATGAGTCAGGATTGGCCACACCTCCATCGGAGAGCGAGGAAACGGTCAAAAGGAAGGTCGGAGACTGGGCGCGCGCGCCAAGTTCAAATGTACAAGAGGGCGGCGCAGTGGGCAGCCCGGATAGGGAGCCAGGTCCTAAAGCCCGCCGAAAGGAGGGAGGAGACTCAGGGGGGTCAGTGTCAGAAGAGTCCAGGACTGAAGGGACCCCGGGGGGTAGAAGGACCCAGAGGAGAAAGGAGAGACGGAAGAGGTGGAGTAAGGTTAGAGTCTTAAACTGGTGTACAGGGGGTGGAGACTCAGATTGAGCTTCGCCGGTCTAGCTCTAAGACGTAGAGCTGGGGCGCTCCGGTTTGGAAATGGAAACTGTACTTCAATAAAGACTTTTGTACATTACTGCCGGCTAGCGTTGGTCCTCTGTGAGCTGGGACCTGGAGCCAGCTCTGACAATTCTGAATGAAACAGTGGATGTATCATTTTTGTGCTTCATGCTGTGGCCACAGACATGTGATCTGATGGTGAATTTGGGGTGACCCAATGCCAAAATCCTGAGGATCCATGTGGATCCATGCTTTGTAACCACGTTTTAAACCATTGCAGCCCCAGGCAACAGTGGGTGCGTGCTTTTTTTGGTGCAGGCTGTAGCCATGGACATGCTATGTGATCTGATGGTGAATTTGGGGTGACCCAATGCAAAGATCCTGAGAATCCCTGTGGATCCATGCTTTGTAACCACATTTTTGCACCATTGCAGCCCCAGGCAACAGTGGGTGCGTGCTTTTTTTGGTGCAGGCTGTAGCCATGGACATGCTATGTGATCTGATGGTGAATTTGGGGTGACCCAATGCAAAGATCCTGAGGATCCATGTTGATCTATGCTTTGTAACCACATTTTAAGTGGGGAGCGAAGGAAAAACAAAGAAGGGACATGAGAGGGGTGTGCAGAGAAGCAGCTGGCTAAGAATGCTGGAGAGGGATTTAACGGGTGGGAGAAAAGAAAGGCAAAAGTTCCCCCCCAAGCCAGCCATCTCTCTCTCTCTCTCTCTCTCTCTCTCTCTCTCTCTCTCCCTCCTCCCTCCCTCCCCCTCCTCCCTCCCCCCTCTCTCTCCCTCCCCCCCTCTCCCTCTCCCTCCCCCACTCTCTCTCCCTCTCCCCCAGCAGCACCGGAGCACAGAGAGGAATTAGAAAGAACGACACTCTGCTTGCCTGGAGGGGAGGGGCTTTCCCTGCTCTTTGTTCCGTTTCAGCAATCACAGCAACGAAACAGAGGAGGGAGGGCAGTAAGACCCTGAGGCAGAATGCAGGAAAGCAGCCACTTCCTCTTTTCAGGTTTCCCTTCTCCGTGACTCGCGATTTGACTTTTGCTTGATTTTTTGGCTCCAGGGACCACACATTCGCTCTATAACACGCACAGACATTTCCCCTTCCTTTTTAGGAGAAAAAATCTGCGTGTTATAGAGGGAAAAATACGGTATTTCATTTGCCATATTTTATTTTTATTTTACTTTGTTTTTTACTTTACTTTATTTTTATTTTTATTTATTTTATTTATCTGTTTTTCTACGTTGTGAGCCAATCCGTGCCAAATCCCCCCACATTTCAGACGACATCAAATGACATAGAAATTTCAGCCGCCTGCCAGTCTCACCTTCCAACTTCACCACCTGCCGGATGAGGAGGCTGCACGTCACAGCGACCAAGATCACCCCCGTCGGGGTGCTGAAGTCCACCAGCCGCTGAGCTGCAGGAGAAGAAAGAGGAGGGAATCGAGAACCCGTCGCGAGAATCAAGAACCCGGAAGAGACCCAAAAGCTCTGGAGGGTGGAGGACGCCACCCAGCCCCACTGACTGACCTGCCGGGTCGGTGATCTGTTGGATCATGTCCATCTTGAAGGCAACGGTGCCCACGACCAGCAGGGTGACCATCGCGATGTAGATGAGGAGGAACAGAGGCAGGATGAGGGCGGCTGAGAGTCCTGGAGAGGAAGGGCGATGATGGGACAGTCAAGTCGGACAGGACCCCCGTATACAGCCCCCTAAAAGGCACCTAGTCCTCCTGGAGAGGAAGGGCGATGGTGGGCCGGTCCAGTCGGACGGGACCCCCGCGTCCAACCCCCTAAAAGGCAACTAGTCCTCCTGGAGAGGAAGGGCGATGGTGGGCTGGTCCAGTCGGACGGGACCCCCGCGTCCAACCCCCTAAAAGGCAACTAGTCTACTAGATCCTTCCAAAGGAAAATCAGACTTTTTAAAAGGCTGTCCATTCCTTTAAGCTCAGTATTCCTTTAAGCTCAGTATTATGCGGATGAGACCCAGCTCTGCCTCTCTTTCCAATGGGATCCAGCGAAGGTCTTGTGTGAGTGCCTGGAGACAGTTGGAGGCTAACAGATGGGGGAGGTTGAATCCTGACAAGGCAGAAGGACTGTTTTGGGGGGACAGGAGGCGGGCGGGTGTGGAGGACTCCCTGGTCCTGAATGGGGTAAATGTGCCCCCGAAGGACCAGGTGTGCAGCCTGGGAGTCATTCTGGACTCACAGCTGTCCATGGAGGCGCAGGTCCATTCTGTGTCTGTTTACCAGCTCCATCTGGGATGCAGGATGAGACCCTCCCTGCCCAGAGTGGTGCATGCTCTGGTTATCTCCCGCTTGGACTACTGCAATGCGCTCTACGAGGGGCTACCTTTGAAGGTGACCCGGAAAGTACAACTAATCCAGAATGCGGCAGCTAGACTGGGGACTGCGAGTGGCCATCTTGAAAGACCTACATTGGCTCTCAGTACGTTTCCGAGCACAATTCAAAGGGTTGGTGCTGACCTTGAAAGCCCTAAACGGCCTCAAAGGTCCAGTAGACCTGAAGGAGCGTCTCCACCCCCATTGTTCAGCCCAGATGCCGGGGTCCACTTCCGAGGGCCTTCTGGCGGTTCCCTCGCTGCGAGAAGCCGAATTGCAGGGAATCAGGCAGAGGGCCTTTTCGGTGGTGGTGCCCACCCTGCGGAACTCCCTCCCACCAGATGTCCAAGAGAAAAAGAACTACCCGACTTTGAGAATACATCTGAAGGCAGCCCTGTTTAGGGAAGCTTTTAATGTTTAATTGGTTATTGTATTTTAGTGTTTTGTTGGAAGCTGCCCCGAGTGGCTAGGGAAACCCTGCCAGATGGGCAGGGTATAAATACTAAATTATTATTATTATTGCGGCAAATTAGCTTCTTCCTCTTCTTCGAAAGCCCCTTCCCGCCTCACCTTGATCATAGCTCCACAGGATCAGGGCCACGAAGGCAAGGGCCGAAGCCAAGCCTGTCAGTCCATTGACATAGATGCTGAGCCACTTCCAGGCCTTCCCTCCTGGGGAGTGAGATGGGAGTCAAGAGGGTGGTAGCTCCTAAGGGTGGGACCCCTAAGATCATCCAGTCCAACCCGCGGCAAAAAAGATACTCACGGATCTGGAGTTTATGGGGCTGACACAATGGCAAGAGGATGCCCCATCCGGAGAAAGCAGCACTCACCAGGGCTGAGGCGGAGAGCTGGAAGGACACCCCCAGCATCATGGAGATCCCTGTAGGATGGAGCCCGTTGAGGAGAGGAGACATCAAGCACCTCAGGGAGGAATTCCAATGTTCCTCTTCCCCCCTCCAGAAGTGTCAACTGGGTGCCATGGCCCTGGCACCGAAATTTGGGGGTGCCCAGACCCTCCATAGGAATGTTGTGGGCGCTCGGGCACCCATGCCTCTCTTCTCTCTCCCATCCCAGGTACGCTCATGGTGACATTGCCTGGGGTTGTACTGGATGACCCTGGGGGTCCTTTCCGAATCTATCCTATCATTAATTGGAGATTTTTCAGTGGGGTCCCATCCAACTCTACCATTCCCTGGAAAGATGGATTCAGAGTTTGCTTTCGCTTTCCCCTCTCTTCCAACCAGGTCTGCTTCTGGAGCCGCAGAATTATTGGGTCTCTTTCGCCAGAGTAATGTTGGTGGGAATCATAGACCCATTGATGGGGAAGGGATCCCATGGTCGTGTAGCAAGGCAAGGCAAGACCACTCCCAGAAACATCATTCCTACATCGCAGAAGGGGTGTAGCCTAAGACCACCCCTCAGATACATCATACCTACATCACAGAAAAGGCGGTCTAAGACAGAAATTTTGAATGTTGTTTTTCTCCTGTCCTTGTTTATCTCCTGTCTGGTAGGTTACTTGATTGGATTTCCTGGGGAGCCTGGCTAGTCATACCTACATCACAGAAAAGGCAGTCTACAGCAGAAATCTGAGTGCATTGTTTATCTCGTCTGACAGGTTACCTGTTTAATGGTCACTTGATTGGATTGCCTGGGGAGCCGGGCTAGTTTTTGTAATGATAAATACTTAGTTCCTGGGCCAGGTCACAGGCTCACACCCTATTCATATATTAAATGTGCCCTTAAGACCGGATTTGTGAGACAATGGGGAGGTTTCCCACTTTGACCTTGATCTTGGTTGGTACGCTTAGGAACATTACCATATATCTAAGACCGTAAAATTCCTACCACAGTTGAAACCCAGTCAACGCAATGCTTTCCTTGCTGACCCAGATGGCTGACTCTAGATTTGTTCTAATTCCTCATAGCAATCCCACCTGATCACTACAGGGCGAAACGTTGCAACGGGGGAGAGGAGAGGGCCCGGATTCTTCTTCCGTTTTGTGCCCCCCACTTGGTGTCTACTCACCCGGCGTCACGTCCAGCTGTGGTGACTCTTTCCAGCCCCGGCGGTTGCTGGCGTTGCAGGAGTACGAGCCGCAGTGGGACGTCTCCACCCCAGAGAGGAGGAGAAGAAGAACGTCATCCCTTTGGCCCCCAGAGAGCGGTTTCCCGTCCCTTTTCCATTCGATGGCCTCCACTGCGCCACTCGGCACCCGGCAGGACAAGCGGATGCCGGGCTTTTGCGGAGAAGGCTCTCTGCGGATGACCGGCTGGGCAGGAGGCTCTGAAAACGGGGAAAGAACCCAAAAGCTGGAAGGGACCCTGAGGGTCATCCAGACCAACCCCCAGCAAGGCGGGAACCTTTTGCCCCAAAGAATGCAATCCTGGCTCGGAAGAGAGTGTTTCGCGCTGTTTGCCCTGCTGTTTTCGACCTTTTGGAGTTCATGGTTCCCTGGACTGGCAGCATTCTTTCTGCAGCTCACCTGTGGAACTCACTGACACTGGGGTCCCTGTGCGCGAAGGGGGAGATTTCTCCTTCCCGCCTCGTTTTTGGCGCCTGTTCAAATGTGGGTGGCCTGGCCTGCCTCTCCTATTTTATTTCTCATTATTAATACCTGTAATAACAATTTACTAAATGTATATTAGGATGCGCCTGGGGAGGGAAGAACAAGATTAAGATATTTAATAATATTTTGTGGTCCTTTCCCGCATTCTTCCCGGCCCCTTAAAGCGGGGTGGCTCTTAAAGAGGACCCCTAGGTTACACTTTCCTGCCAATCTAGCAGTTCGAAAGCACGTCAAAGTGCAAGTAGATGAATAGGTCCCGCTCCGGCGGGAAGGTCAATGGCGTTTCTGTGCGCTGCTCTGGTTTGACAGAAGCAGCTTAGTCATGCTGGCCACATATCCGGAATCTGTACACCGGCCAATAAAGCAAGATGCACGCCGCAACCCCAGAGTCGGCCGTGACTGGACCTAATGGTCAAGGGGTCCCTTGACCTTTACGTAGGTGACACTTACCAAGGTCTTCCAGGGGATCTGGGAATCCCGCGTGCCACTGCAGGACGTCCCCCGACGAATTCGTTCTCCCCGGAGCAGGCAGCCCACGGTCGGACGTGTTTTCGGGAGCGGGGAGCAGGAAAGGGGAGCTGGCGGCAACTTTGGCCAGCCAGAGCAGCACTGCAGAGAAACAGGGACGCAGAATCCTAGCCGAGGGTCGCCTAGTCCTGCCCCCGGCAAGTCCAAACGTAGAAGCATAGAACTGGATTGGGACCCTGAGGGTCATCCAGCCCAACCCCCTGCAATGCATCCTGTCCATTGGTCTGGGATGGAAGAGCGGAGATGGCTGCCTAGCGGTGGGTTGGGATGGATGACCCTTTGGGGTCCCTTTCAGCTCGAGCTCTGGAAGTTTAGGGAAGCTTTTAATGTTTAATCGATTATGGTATTTTAGTGTTTTGTTGGAAGCCGCCCAGAGTGGCTGGGGAAACCCAGCCAGATGGGCGGGGTATATATAATAAACTATATTATTATTATTATTATTATTATAAGTGGCGGCTTGGAGAACGTTGGCCTTGGCGTGACGCGGAGGCACGAATCCAGGCTAGTGGGGGGACTGGATCTCTGAAGGATCCTCTCCTGACCGCAAATTACGTCTCTCTTTCCGCTCTGGCTCATCTAGGCAACCCACCAGAGTGGAAAACTGGACTGTGTCCAAGTTGGAAATGTACACAGCCAGATGGGAGAAACGTACACAGTCCAGAGTCCGGGCGCGAGCCGGATGCTGTGCAAACGGTTACCTGGCGCCAGCAAGCCACTTGCTGCTATCTTTCTGGGGAAGAAGCAAATCTTCATCTGCGGAGAGAAAGCAGAGGGAGAATGAGAAAAGGGACCCTGAGGGTCATCCAGACCAACCCGCTGCGATACAGGAAGATGCTGCTGTCTCTTGAACCTGCAACCTCGGCGTTCTCAGCAGCTATGAATATGAAACCTTGGTGTTCTCTCTCCAGCTATCTATGGATCCCAATCAGGAGAAGCGCTGGGAATGGCTCCATGCACCCAGCCCCCCTTCTCTCTTTGGCTGCCCTTCAAAACTAACGGGCATTGGGGTTCCCTTGTAGGAAGCAGAAGAAAGGCGTCTGCAACACGGGCCTAAATGAGAAATGCCAAAATGAGAGGTCCAAAGGAAAAGACTATATTTTTATTTTAATACATAAAAGTTTAGATTGTCACCATCCATCTAATAGGTCTGTACTCTGTCCCTCCTGGTCTCCCAATTTCTCCTTCTCTTGCTGCATATGCTATTTTTATTTTGTATTCCATCCCTCCTTGGTCTCCCCATTTCACTTGCTGCATATCCTTACCCTCTCCCAGCCATGCCCAATATCCTAATTTCTTTTCGCTACTGCTCCGCGTTCAAGTCCTACTTGCCCGTTCCCCCGACTGTTATATATTTCTTTCAAATGCTTTGCAAAAGGGTTTCTGCTCCTTTTTGGTCATCATATCAGTTTATTCTCTTATTGGTTGATATTTCTCCGTCTCATAGATCTCTAGCGTGGCTGTAAGGGCAGGAAAACGCGAGGCGGATTTGGAATAGCAAAAAGCAGAAAGATGTTACAGATAACTAGGGTGTGGTCTTTTTGGTGGGGGAGATTCTAGGTTTGTCATATTTTATTATGTATTTTGTGGGTTTTGTGTTCTGGTTTTCTTCGGCGAGCTGCCTTGAGCAGTATATATAGCGAATAAATAACACATAGTTGCCATCAAAATTATTCCACCCACCCACCCCTTGCAAATCAGGCTTCTCCTCAAAATTTAGAGACTTTCGGCTGTTTGCAAGGAGCAAACCGCTCCAAAGCACAGCGGATGTTTGAAGTGGTCCCCCCCCCCCAAATTCATCTGAAAATGCAACATATCGTGAGACTGGAGAAGCCCAGAGAAGTTGCATTTTCAACTGAATTTTCCCCGATTTGTAAGGGGTGTGCGTGGAATAATTTCGGCGCAAATTGCCAGGGAGTCAGTGGATCAATTCAATGTAATCTTGATGGCTGTTATTCTTGTTCAAGGATGACGATGATTAAAGCATGCAAACTTTGGAAAACGAAATAAATCACATTATTTACCTCTCGGCAAACGAAATAAATCACATTATTTACCTCTCCGGCAAACGAAATAAATCACATTATTTACCTCTCTGGATGATCCTGAGTCCTGGGGGTAAAATCACTGGGTGGCAGAGCTGGGAGGGAAGCGTTTTGACGCTTCCCATCCAGCTGGCAGGCGAGCAAAATGGACAGGAAATGGACAGAAAAAGCCTGCCTCCTCCTCGTTTCTCTGGGGATGTTCTCAAGTGACTCCAAGGCGGCTTTGAATGCCACTCACAAAGACGCTTCAGCCCGTTTTCCAGACAAATCCTCATTCCTTTCATTACTATTAGGCTTTTCAATTTAAAAAACAAACAAGCATTTTACTTGGTCAGGACATTAATAGACAAGATGTCAAATTGTTTTTCTATGCAACAACTGCGGCAAGAGTATTGTGAGCCCAGAAATGGAAACAAGATGAAATTCCGACGAAAGAAGAATGGCAGACAAAATTAAAGGACTCTGCAGAATTGGACAAAAGGACAGGAAGGATTCGAAACTGCAAGACCAGAAATTAACAGAAGATTGGAAGAAGTATATCAATTATTTGTAGAGCAACTGTAATCGACAAATTATGCTAGAAGTTTTGTAAGGAGAGATATACGAAGTGTTACAAAGTAGAAAAAGATAGAAATCTTGGTTATAGATAGATAGATAGATAGATAGATTCTTTATTGTCATTACACAAGTGCAACATTGCACAAAGTGCAACGAAATTGGATGCCATCCCTTAAAACAACAAAAGCAAAACAACAACAACAACAACAACCAAACAAACCACATTCCAGCCACACCCACACCCACACCCATCAAACTCCCAGGTCACACTATCGAGTTACAGCATTCAAAAAGGCCACAGCTCTTGGATAGAAACTGTTTTTCAGTCTATTTGTCTTTGACTTGATGTTTCTATATCTCCTGCCAGAAGGCAGTAGTGCAAACAGACTGTGTCCCGGGTGAGATGAATCCTGCAGGATGTTATTTGCTTTCCTAAGACAACGGGAACCGTACAGTTCTTCCAAAGATGGGAGAGGATGACCAATAATCCTTTGGGCTGTGGTTATGACCTTCTGGAGCACCTTCCTCTCCCTAGCTGTACAACTGGAGAACCAAGCACAAATACAGTATGTAAGAATGCTCTCTATGGAGCCTCGGTAGAAGGACACCAGCAGTCTCTCACTCAGATTGTTCTTCTTTAAAAGTCTGAGGAAATAAATTCTCTGCTGGGCCTTCTTCACCAGAGCAGTGGTATGTTATTATTATTATTATGAGTAATAGGGAAGATAAGAAATGTATCCTGAGAAATTAGATTGGAAAATTTTCAGACAGGATTGATGGAAGTCAAAAATTGAAATAAGATCTCGAAGGATGTTTAATTACTGTTGAAAATGATATATTTAAAAAAGTAATTGTCAGAGCTGGCTTCAGGTCCCAGCTCACAGAGGACCAACGCTAGCCGGTAGTAATGTACAAAAGTCTTTATTGAAGTACAGTTTCCATTTTCAAGCCGCAGCGCCCAGCTCTACGTCTTAGAGGCTAGACCGGCGAAGCTCCATCTGAGTCTCCACCCCCAGTACACCAGCTTAAGACTCTAACCTTACTCCACCTCTTCCGTCTCTCCTTTCTCCTCTGGGTCCTTCTGCCCCCCGGGGTCTCCTCCTTTCTGGACTCTTCTGACGCTGACGCTGACCCCCCTGACTCCTCCCCCTCCTTTCGGCGGGCTTTGGGACCTGGCTCCCTATCCGGGCTGCCAACTGCGCCGCCCTCCTGTATATTTGAACTTGGCGCGCGCGCCCAGCCTTCCACCTTCCTCTTGACCGTTTCCTCGCTCTCCGATGGAGGCGTGGCCAATCCTGACTCCTCTCCTCCCGCTGGCGGTGAGCCTCCTGGTCCCAATACCTGGGACTCCTCCCCCCTACTGCGCTCTGGTGGAGAAGCTGGTCCTGATTTCCAACTGCTGCTCTCTGAGTCCCCTCTGGCCCCTTCTTCCTGGCGTGTCCCCCTAGGCACCCCCCTTGCTCTGACCATGGGAGCCCCTTTCTGTGAATCTTCCGATTCGCTGGAAAGACTCAGAGACCTCGGACCTCTGTCATCGCTAACATTTCCTTCGGATTCCTCCCCCTCGCTCTCTATTTCTTCCCTTTCCTGTGCCTCTGCTCCTGAGCCCCTGACAGTGGGCAACATTGCCATTATAAGTGAACAAGGGAGGCATTCACAGTGAGTTCTGGCAAATATTTTTCTGGAGAAATAGCATTGTTCTTACTAATGTTCTGTCAGCTTCGGAGAGAGACTTGTGCCATCTGTACCCTAGTCTTCCTGAGGCCTGTTTCATCGTCTGGAGCTCCTCAGAGCACCAGGAAGCTGCTTGAGCTCCAAAATGCCGGAGATGACATCCAAGAGAAATCATGTCAATTGCTTGTTTCATCTCACCATTCAATAGCGAGACAGGACCAGCAAGACCAGCTTTCGCCAATGGAAAATGCCCCAGAGCATTCAGGAACACATCAGGTTCCATCAGTCACCGAGGGAGGGCCATTCAAACAGGCTCACCATTCTTATGTTGGGGAACTGCCGCCGTCAGTCCAAACTTAACCAGAAAATGGTCTGACCATGACAAGGAAGTGTGTTGAACTCACCCCTATCTTTAGTCCATCCCTCATATCACTTAGGGCGAATATCACATCAAGAGTGTGCCCTACCTGGTATGTTGAACCAATGACCATCTGTGAGAGACCCATGGTTGTCGTGGAGGCCATGAAGTCTCAAGCTGACTGGACAGCAGCCTCTGTGTTGATATTGAAGTCACTAAGGATCAACATTTTAGGTTCCTCCAACAGTAACCCAGAACCTACCTCGGCCTGCCTGATCAAGGATGTTGCTGGGTAACAGGGTGGTCAATAGACCAGCAGCATCCCTGATCTGCCTCTCTGGCCCAACACCAGTCTGACCCTCTAAGCCCAAGGTCAAGAGGCTTCCTGGTCAAAGAGATGGTGTCCCCATAGATAATAGTAACACCCTTACCTCAACCCTCTAGTCTAGCCTGGTGCAATACTGAAAACACAGGTGGGCACAGCTGAGTAAGGCCAGGCCCACCCAGCTCACTCACTCAAGTGTCAGTAATGCGAGCCAGTTCAGCCTGCTCATCCGCAATCAAATGGTTTTATTATGGACTGATCTGGCATTCAGCAACAGTACCACCAGACTAGACAGCTCAGTGGATATGCTACCAGTAACATCTGATGGTGTGAGAGGGCTGGAACAAGGAGCCTGCCTCTCACTT